AAAGGACGCGCAAAGTTGTGCCAAAAATACATTTAACAGGAACGGATTCAGCCTTACTGGAGAATATAATAAATAGTGTAACACGCAGAGCTTTTATTTATAAACAGATAGAAATTTCTGATGACGAGTGATTCATCAGCTGTTTTGAGGAAAAATCGTTTTTTTGTTTGGCACTGCTGCGCTATGGGAGCGCAACGCAGCGAGTGGCCGCTTGCACATGCAGCAGCAGCGATTGAACTGGGGTTCCACAGGAGCTTTCCAGAGGGAGCTGGCAGACCGATCGGGACTCAGTCCAGTCCACCCAAAGCTGAATCATGACCAACGGAATCGTCTCATCCATATGATTCTAAAGGCTGAGTTATGGTCACGCTCTGGAGCGCRCGCACCCTCGCCGGAAGTGGAGATGTTTCRTACTTAGCATTTACGTTGCTGTAGATTTCTCCAAAGTGACAMGTGGAAGTACACTTTATAACTTGTGAAAATGCTGTAAGTAGGACAGCAAAAGCTTGACAGACAAACAGACTGTGCACAAAGGCTGCGGTGCGCSCAGCGTTTGTGAGGACTCTCCAACATCACGTCACGTCATGTGAACTCTTTACTGAGACGGAGACTCGTTTCTTAATAGCAGCTATGAAATAAACTAAGATCTATGTTCTACCAAATATTTATGTTCCTCTGTATTTACAGTAATTATGGTAATAAACCATGTGCAAATTTAATATTGTCAGACTCAGAATGGATGGATGCCGGTTGCGCAACACAGCAGCGTGCACTCTCACACACACTGACACACAATCACTTGTTCTTTGCGTGATAAACACATTTTATTCCTATTTTTACTTAGGATTTTTTTCACACTCACATATTTAATTCATTATTTTTATGACATTAAAAATCATTTCTGATCGTGCAGGGATCATTCAAACGTGTCCTTCACACATGCAGGAAGTAATTTGCATCTGCTTAACGTTTGTTAATGAAGGCGTGTCAGGGGATGTGTCTTACCTGCGCTCAGTTCCACGTTAATTGTGATGTACAAAAGCAATGTGCATGGATTCTGGCGTACGCACGGTTTGATACATCTGGATTTTTTTGTGCGTATGCCGTTTTCTGGATTTGACYGTACGTCAGGTTTCAGTAAGAAATCCACGCAAGTCTTTGTGCATGAGGCCCCAGGTGTCTCTGGTGAACTGGAGACCTGTCCAGGTGTCTCTGGTAAACTGGAGACCTGTCCAGGTGTCCCCTGCTTTCACCCAAAGGCAACGAGGACAGGTTCCAGCCCCACACTGACCCTGATTGGGAACAAGGAGGACAGGAGGAGGATTTTTCTTTGTAGCAGGAAACAGACATTTAATTATAAAAAATGATTTATTTAATGTTAGTCTGAATCAGTTTAGTGTTGTTTGTAAATATATTTGACAGTTTTGTAGGAATGAACATGTTTGTAATGTTTGTTCAAAATAAACCTGCTTCTTATGACTTCTGTAACGTTTTGAATAAAATATTATCAGTAAAAACCTCAAATCATGTTCTTTCTAAGAATTATTTGAACTCTAGAAGAACTTTAACTAAGCAGAGTTTCCCCCAGGATTTTTTTAACCGTGGTGGTGACCTCTCATGTGGGGGTTTGACAAAATCTGGTTGTCCTCAAAACATTTTGGTTGTCCAAAAAATATCTCAATAAAAATATAATTTAATAAGTAGGCTATATTGTTCTGTATACAAAGTGTAATATATACAAATGTTCTCAGTCAGCAGGTTGACAGTTTTAGGAGCTGCTCCTCATCCTCTTCTTTGAAATAGAAATCAAAAATCAACATCCATCCATAAACTTTCTGTTTACAGGTCAAACATTTTTTATTTAAATAGGAGTATACTACATGACCTTATTAAAGTTACAGTTTAGTGTTCTTAGGACTGAAGACTTTCTGAGGAAAGAAGTTTTTAAACATCTTTTCTATAATTTTAGTGTTTTCAACTGAGGRGCTTTGATGTATTTATTTAAAATAAATTATAGCAGAGGAAGTTCTCTGCACAGAAAAAAAATACTGTTTTTTTAATCAAACTGACAAGTTTCTCCAGTAAAGTTATTGTGTAATTTAAAGGCATTGAAACACCTGGTTAAATTTTGATGATTAACTACACACATCTGAASCTGACTCAGAGAACTCTGTGATTTTAGAAAAAATAAAAGTCAAATGTAAGACACATCTTTAAAAGACTCTCCTCCTCCTCCTCCCCATCCCGCGCAGCTGCGGTCAGCGCACCTCTTCTCCATCCGCGTGATTAACACTGTTTTTTGCGCAAATTACAGATTTTTTATGCTCATTATACACGTTAAATGTCTGAAGCGGTTGACATGTGAACTCTTCAGTCCCGGGCTGGTTGGAGCCGAGCTGCAGACTGACAGCTTCAGCTGCTGTAAAGTCGCTGCACCTTGCTTTAAAAACAGTCAGCTGATACGTCGCGGTTTTGTTGCGCTCGTGACGTGAACACGCAGGGGGAAATGCTGCGGAGTGCTTTTAGAAATAAAATAATTATATAATACAATGTAATCCTTGGTGGAAAATGGTCCAGGAGACATGTGCGTTCCCGAGAGGTATTCCCCTGAGCTGAGTGAAGCTGAWCCCCCACTCACAGAGAAAGAAAAAAAGGCAGTAATTATTGATAAGGTAGTAAGTATACTGTGGCTTCACCTGTCGCATTTTCAAAGAAAAAGTAGCTTGCAAAGCTGTCACATCGGTGCAACGTGATTAAAAGCAGAGCTGCGCATCTAATCACACAAACATCTTCCTATCTTTGTGAGGACCACACACGGTGCTCAGCCTCGTTCTGCGCCATCTTTTTCTCCCTAAGTTTGGCGAGAGGTGGATGTGGAGGGTCGCAAAAAAATTGCTCTCGACTTGATCTGGCCTTATTTAAATAAAAATGACTACATGCCGTGAAATTCTTAGAGGGGTGGGCCGTCTCGTTGGCGTGGGGGGTGCCCCGCCTGTATAATGGTAGGGGAAACACTGGGGTTTTACTGAAGAGCACCACTAAATAAAGAGTTTTCATGTTACTTAAACATGTAAATGTTTTATGTAACAATAGAAAATTCAGCTGCATCTTTATCATTTRTGTAGTTCACATTTCCACTAATTATCAGTGTACATTGCCAATGCAATGCACACTATTGTTTTCCTGTTATCAGTGTGCATTGCCAATGAAATGCACACTATTGTGATTCGTTTTCCATCCAAGTCATCTCAAATTTGCCATGCTTCTCCTCCTGCATACTTTGTCCTAGAGCTGCCATTGTAATTTCTACCTGTAAAGCTCCTGTGCCAAATGATTGCTATGCCTTCTGCTGCCTGTATAACTTGTAGTTTTTGAAATAYTAATGTTTAAACTTTATTCCAAAAATCATATAATGRGAGTCAATGGGGCCTTGTAATGGTCCAATACTGCCCCRTGCTGGACTCAAGTTGGTACTGCTCCATACATTAATAATATTTCATCTCAATTGGTCAGTGTTTACAATACTAATATGATTGTATTTTGATGTTTTACTATAATATTGTCTTAATACTGCTCTATTGTTGTAATATATTGCACTTAAGTGTCAATAATTGCATTGGCAAGGTAAACTTTTTCTGTATACATACAATCCAATCCCTGGGATTGTCCTCTGCCACATCTCCTATAGTCTCATAATGAGCACTGTAGGTTTTCATGCGGGAGATCAAGGTTCAAATCCAGCTACTGCTACTTTAACAAAAATCTCTGCAAACTTCATATTGTCACACAATTACCTTAATTACAAACACCTGCTGACGTGACAGGCACAAGCTGGTATAGAAAACACTTTTGAACTTGGTCAAAGTTCATTCTGCAAGTCCAGTGCTCCTACATACGTTGTCCTAGAGCTGCCATTGTAATTTCCATCTTTAAAGGTCCTGTGCCAAATGATTGCTTTGTCTTTTGCTGTCTGTACCACTTGTAGTTTTTGAAATATTAATGTTTAAATTTTATTACAAATTCTTAAAATGCGAGTCAATGGGGCCTTGTAATGGTYCAATACTGCCCCCAGCTGTACTCAACTTGGTGCTGCACCATAGTTTTTTTWAATATTTAATCTCAATAGTTCAGTGTTTACAATACTAACATGATTGTATTTTGATGTTTTACTATAATATTGTCTTAATACTGCTCTATTGTTGTAATATTATGCAGTTTAGTGTCAATAATTGTATTGGCAGTGTGGCCTCTTTCTGCACACATACAAACCAACACCTGCCACCACCTTCTTCCACAATGCCATTGGTCTAATGGTCTATGTCATGGTCTTTCATGTAGGAGAAAAGGGTTCAAAACCCAACTAATGCAACTTTAAGAAAAATTTTCTTCAAACTTCATATTGTCACACAATTACCTTTATTCTAAACACCTGCTGACGTGACGGCACAAGCTGGTATAGAAAACGCATTTGAAGTAGGTCAAAGTTCATTCTGCAAGTCCAATGCTGCAGGCAAAGCCATGCTGCAAGGACATGCTACGTGGCAATGCACACTTGGTTTTACATCGTAAAAACCTATGTCTAGTTAGTGTTTGTATTAGTTATTGCAGAACATATTTTTGTTTGGAATCTACTTACATTTCAATTGAAAATTTATTGCAAACATTTTATTTTTATTAATCTAAAAAAATTCATGAACGCTTTTTAACCAGTAGTGTTGGAAATTAAACTTTAAGATTTACACTTATAACAGAGTTTAAAAAGTTAAAGTTAAGTTTTAAGTAAAACCACTGCATTGTTTATTATCTCACTTTTCTTTTGCWAGAAATCTAGTAAAACTACAATCATGGCTTTAAATACAAAGAAGTAGTTAACTCATATTTGAATATTACCCAGAGGAGGTGGAAACTTTATTTGTAGGTTTTACAACCAACTGAAGCATCACTATCAGCAACACAAACCAGCATTAGCCATGATTAAGATAATAAAAGTGTGCACTCACGTTAATGTCCTCTAGATCCAGAAAATTTAATATGATGCCATTTCTCTTCCAGATGATTGGTGGACGCAGAGTCCCTTGGATGGAGCAGGTGAGGACGGCGCTGAGGCCCACCGTTACCGTCGAGACACTGATTTGCTGATCCTCTGCCAGGCTCAGCTGAACAACCTCTGTTGGTGAGAGAGGAGAGAGAATCATTAGTGGACACAGAGTAAGAATGCTGGGG